CCTGAAATTCAATTGGTTTGCGCCACGATAAAGTCATGTGACCGGAAAATTTTTTGTGGTATAATTACATAGGTTATCTATTAACAACGATAAATAAAGGATCGTATCTTCTAAACTTAAAATATTCAAAATTTACGAGAATCTGACTTATTGGGTGCAGCAAAAATAATGCTAAATCCAGAAATTAGATATTATATATTATATTATTGGAACATATAATTATGAGAATTTGCCTCCATCATTAAAATAATGAATTAAATTATATGCTTAACGAATTCTGTATTTCTTCAGAGAATTTAATTTCTACCGCCACTGCGGCGCACATACATTTTCCGGATACAACATTTTTTCGAGGTGATGTTAGGGTTGTTATTCCGTGCCTTGTGATCATGTGACCTCTTGCTATCAGTTGTTCCGTGAATTGAGGTTAATAATTTTATAAATGGGCGGATAAACCGATGCCTAAGTTTTGTATGAGTATTAACTCGAGCACTTATATTTATAGTTTGTCCACCATTGGTACTTAAAGGAACTTGCTGAACTTGTTGAATATCTTGACTAATTCTATTTATAACTTGTTCACCATTGGTACTTGAACCCTGTAGGTTTAAAGGATCTTGCTGAATTTGCTGGATACCTGGGTCAATTCTACTCATAGTTTGTTCACCATTGGTACCTCGTAGGCTTAAAAGGTCTTGATAAACTTGTTGAATATCTGGGCGGTTATTAGGATCATGCTGCCAACAACCTATTTTTGATTAAAATTATTTTTAGATTTCAAATATAAAAAATGATGCAATAAGTAATTTTTATACCTTTATAGATCTTAACATATACCGGTGGGGTTCCCTTAATAGGACTTTCTCGATTACCCTTGCCTATATATACAGCTAATTGTATAGCCATGTTCTTAAATCTCTTAAAAGGTGGGTAACCACTAGATATTTCCCACATAAGAACACCAACACTATATACGTCAGATTTTTTGTCAAATCTAAATGTTGGATTTTCAAAATTCTGTGGATCAACATATGCAATAATTCCACAAAATTTTTGGTTTGAATTTGTCGCATCATCTAATCTCTTCGAGATTCCAAAGTCCGAAATCTTAATACACATTTTATGAATAAGTATATTTTCCGAGTGCTATTTAAAATTATAAATAGTTGAGATTGATAAAAATAACAAAAGTCATAAGCAATATATTCGAAAATTACCAGATCATGATGTATTATATCTTCAGAATGCAACCATTTAACCGCACTGGAAATTTGTAATGCAAAATTGATCTTATCATCCCAAGAAAGATGATTAAAATTATCTTGTAAATACGATTTTAAAGTACCGCTGTCAGCATATTCAAGAACTAGCATGTAATGTATAGAGCCCGAAATTATTTCGTCTATTATATACGTAAAAATATCATTATTTAATTTATTTTATATCATTAAATCAAATCAAAATTATTTTTTTTATTATGAAATTAACTTGGTGACATTACCTTTATTTTTAGTAACACCGTATAAACGTATAATGTTAGGATGCATATCAACTCTACTGTGTAATTTAAGCTACAGTTATATGATAAAAAATCGTCATTATTATGGTTTATATGGTTATTGATAACATTAAGTAAATAAACTACCTCTTTAACGGCTTCTTTAATGGCCACATCATTTTTAAATGATTTTAATGCGACAATAACTTCGCTATTTCTGTGAATAGCACGGTACACTTTTCCGGATCCTCCTTCCCCAATCGGCTCAACATCTTTGAAACAAGAACGTTCAAATAATTTGAAATGTTCTTCATTTAAATCATCAGGTGGGTTTATGCCTCGCATTGAAGAATGTTCACACGGATGATCAATGTTTAAAAAGTAGTCGAGTAACGAGATTTGATTTGTGCGAAAGGATGTAGTTTATAAAAGAGAAACAAGAATAATATTCCTTTGTAGAAATGTGTTTCTGCAAACGTAAAATTTTACCGGATTCTAACTTTTTAGATGAATGTTGGTGGGCTTTCTATATGGTACAAAGCCAAGGTGCGGTTAATGGTTGCGACTCTATTATAATGCATTTATGAGCGCTATGAACTCTTATTAAAATCTAATTAATTAGTTATAAGACAAATATTTAAATTAAATTAAATCACTCTTGATCAAAGAATGGAGGCTTTTACTGTTTTAGATATAGAAGGGTGGATGGACACTTTGAACTTATTGTGCTTTGCAGTTAAAATTAGCCAATTAAAATTATATGAAACTTTCAGAACAATGAAATTTTTAAGAGCAGAGTTTCGATTTTAAGGAAAAAAAAAACGTAAATTAGAGCTTATTGTTATATACAAAAAAACAAGTGCGTGATACTAAGAAATACAATATATATATAAATATAAATATTGTGATTAACGTTTATGCATGATCAATTTGATAACGATAACAAAGATCTTTTTGCATGTTCAAAGATTATCAGATGGGACAGGTGCGTTCACGTGACTAACAGCCAATCAAAATATAAAATTTGATCAACCCGGATCAGCCCGACGAGACAAAAACAAAGAAAAAAAGTCACCGGGTAACTTATTTATACACTTTAAAGTACTTTTTGGGAACGTAACGTTTCACTAATAAAAAAATCACTGCAAAAGCCATTTTTCACTTCGAAAGAACGTTTATATTCACTATACAAAAATAATAAAAATAATCAGTAACACTGAGAACTTTACTTAGAAGACAAAGTATGTCTACCATATTGTAGAGTGAAGGTAACTGGCAACGTTTTCGTCTAAAGCTATTTTATTATGTTAGATTTAGATAAAACTTTTACTTTTAACTGTTTAATTTGAATAGGTACAAGCTCTTAGTAGTAGAGATCTGAACTTAATATTTAGTTGTAGTTTTTATATAGTACATAGATCTTGTACGTAGATTCTTTAATAAGTTTGGGTTTATTAGTAATAAATATCATATTTGCCTACTTTACGCGTATCTATCTATTCTCTAAATATAAGTAATTCATTCTTTTGTATGTATTTATTAGTTTGTAAGCTTCCTTATTCGAAGTTTTGTTTCGTTTTCTAGTATTGTAGTATTAATAAAATCATGTATTTTGATTGGTTAATTATCACGGGCAATCACGGTAGATCTACCAAAATTAACCAATCAGATGAATGTCTTACTATGAGAAAAAAAGTGAAAAATACAAGAAATGAGTGTCTAAACCTGTCTTGAAGCACTAATAAAAAAATGTCGGGAAGACAATTTTACCTATAAGAACTTCAACTAACTCTTACCCTAATTTTAATTAAACATATAAACGCACCTGGCTTTAACCATCCCCCAATAATAATAAAGGTATGATTTACTGATCACATGCACAATTTTTAATCAGTTTATAATAATTCGAAAGAGGATATCTCACAATACAATGGTTATAATTGGATGAAGCTTATACCATTTGATTCATTTCATTGAGACGAATCTAATAGTATAAAAATTATTAAATTCTACCTATTGTATCATAAGATATCTTCGATCTTTTATAAAATTTATTTCTAATATAACTCATTAAATATTGGGAGTATTTTGGACTAATTTTAATAGAACGTAGGTTTTTATGAACTTCTTGCTATTTTGTTTTTTTAATGTATTAAATTGGTAGGTTTTGAAAGATCACCAAAATAAAAAGTACTTTAACGTGTATAAAAAGCTAGAAAAAAAATTTTATTCAATTACGACAACTATAACCAAATTTGTTTGTTCACCATGCTTAATAAATATGAATATCATACGTAGTTACTTATTTTTAGAGATGGCAAATGTTTTAAAACACTTGATTAATGCATTATGACGTAATTATTCAATTATATTTTGTGTACAATTAACCATCTATGGAAAATCTATTATGACTAACTGTATACAAAATATAATTAAAAGTCCGATGACAGGTTTTATGATTACAAATTCAAAAATAAAAAAATTCTAAAAATAATGATTCCTGTTCGTGAAAGACCCTGATAAAAGAAATCTGTTTAAACTTTAAAAAGTTTCTGAACCTGATAAACATGATTGACAAAAATGTAATTACTGGTGAAGAAGACTGTGTTGATTTAGTTGGCCGTTAAAGATCATTTATTAAAAAAGCCCATTTTGCAATATAAACAATTTTGAATTTAAGTGATGATCCACAAATAGAAACACAGATAAAATTTTCGGATGTTCTATAGAATAGGTAGGCAATATAAAAATAAACTCCGCCAAGAATTAGTAATCATTAATAAATATTTAACGGAGTTTGCGGAGTTTGCCCATCTATTCTATAGAACATCCATTGAAGGTATGTATATCTATTCAAAAACCAAATAAAAAAATGTTTGAAAGCTAATATGAGACACCTATATAAGATTTATTGTCGCAGCTGATGCTGAAAACGGCTGATGCTGAAATTTTTTCATATTTTATTATAAAATTATAAAAAATTTTTGGGCCTTTTTTTTACACTTTTTTTTCATAGTTAGGTTAGGGTTAGTAGGGTAGTTTTATTAATAAAAAAGTATATGTAGATTTTAGTAGGTACAGTATTATAGATTTAAATAGAGACCCCAAATTTCAGCATCAGCCGTTTTCAGCATCAGCTGCGACATTTATTAAAAGTTCAAAAGCAGGATTCTGGTTCTTCAAATAATTTACAAAAAACTTATTCAATTAATGTAGCCAGTGTTGGAAATCTGGTTTGAGATTTATGTTCTTACGAGAACACATTTATTTAGTTTAATATTTACAGAAATTTATTTATATTCTTATTTATATCTCTATTTTTATTCAATTTTTGTTCCAACCTTTTATGTTCTCAGATAGTTTTGGAACTTTGCTTGATTTTTAACATTTTTCGATCTCAATGTTTTTTTTTCATTGAGAACATTTACAGAATATCAAATGTTCTCAAATCTAAAGGTGAGAACATAAAATTTCCAACACTGGTATTGGCCGATAAGCAAATTTCATATTTAAAATTATTATATTTAATTTTTTTATGTATATCTAGTAAATTCAAAATTATATAACACCGTCTTTTTTTAAAAAAACTTCTCTGCTTAAAATTAAAATTAACTAATTAGAGGCAACATTTCAGTTTCAGCGAAAATTTTAGCATCAGACATCAATGTTTTTTAAAAAAAGATTTAAATTTAAAACAATAAAGAAAGGTTAAAATCAGGTTAAACTGTTATTTTTTTACCATCCCTACTTATTTTACATTCTTGTTCACCTTGTCAAATGATTAAACCTGGTAATTTATTGCAAAATAGTAAAAAGAAAAAACAATTATAAAAAGTTTATTACAATATACTATGCTTTAAACATTTAAGAAAATATTAAAATATAAAATATAACTACTTTACAGAACCTTTTAATTTTACACAGCATTTTAATATCTTAATATTATATATATATAACTTTTAATAAAGCACACTTATGGTGTTTTACACCTTTGTATATATTATCTCAAAACCTGTACAATTGATCAGTGCAGTTTGTTCTAAGTAAAAATGCTCCACGTTCCTAAAAACTTTTCCCAACCCCTAACCCTAAATGCTAACCCGAAATTTTTTGCATTAAAAATTTTTGTATTCAAAAGTAGAAAAATCTAAAAAACATATTAAAACATGTGATAGGTGCAACGTAATCAGATTCAATATTTATAATGACAAATAAATTCTTCGTGATTTTGTAAGTTTCATGCAGGGACCTGTGAAATCTGATATAATTTAACAAATTATGTTTTCGATATCGGCAAATTATTTAATAACAATAAAAGTACGAATTAGTATAAATTTTAAATTTTATCTAGTTTTTTTTTTAAAAAAAAATGCACTAAAAAAAAAAAAGATCGTTTTTTATGCACAAATATATAGGCCATGATATTTTTATTTCTTTGAACTAGAAATATAAAAGATTTTATCATATTTACTAAAAATATCATCATGTATGCTTGAGAAATACATTTTCTATAATCGAAATAAATTGATACTTTTAATGATTTGCTTTGATCACAGCAGATTTAAATATGAACCCGTGTGTGTAACTGGGTTATTCATATACCCATATCAACTGTATAATACTATCTTATTGCTGACGTGCCAGTAAGCAAATGAAAAAAGCATGGGTTGTCACATAAGACCTGTGCAATAACTATAAATTACCGTAAGGATTTATTAAATCTGTCTTTTTGTTAAACTTTCTAAGGCAAGATGATAACGAAGCTACAAATATTTGCTCTTTCCGAGCTTGATCTTGGCTGTGATGTTATGGACTTTGCAAAATGGTGATTTCAATATTAAATGAATGACGCAAAAATTTCTTACCATTCCTGCAACAAGCATACCAAGTAAACGCTTATTTCCATACATGAGAAATGTTATAAGTGCGAAAAGAACGTTATTAAATCCAAAGTAACTTTGCTTTGATATTTCTAAAACATAATATGAAAATGTAAATAGGCAGATTATAAGTTATGCACATTGTTTTATTATCTGTTATTGCGGTTTGCATAATTTTGCGTTTAAATGATTGTGATTGCGATCGCGATTGCTAAAGCCAGCCAATTTATCATAAATCTGAGCTTAACATAAACTCAGATTCATGATAAATTGGCTGGCTTTAGCAGTCGCGATCGCAATCACAATCATTTAATCATAAAAAAATTAATCATAAAGGTCCCAAATTTTTACAAACTACCATAATGGTTGTGTACTATCTCAATCACTAGCTAATCACATCGAGCGTGCTGCTTGAGAACACCCTATATCTATTCAGCCAATATTAACGTAAATTTGCTTATATTT